ACATTTTTTTAAATTTGTAATGCAAACGAGCATAAAAATTAGAACTTGCTTGCAATCTTTCTGCACACACATTTTCTTGTTTTACTGACTTTTTCTCAACATACAGTAGCACTACCGTATCTCCATCGCACTTCAGTCAAATTATTTCACGGTCTAGACTGGACTACCGTCTCGCAATAGAATTGACTTTTTTTCACTATGCACTGAAGTTGATATGTTATATTTTGGTGACTAACAAATGAACAAAACTGATCTAGTATTTTTACATTCGAGAAAGCTGTAAGATCAGTGTAGTGTCTACCAGCTTGATAAGCTCAAAAGTCCTCTATTCTTGAGTAACAATTACCTATGTTGAAGGCGGTATAACACAGGAGTTTGCAGAAAGTTCGATGACTCTTATAAAGCCTTGGGGCTTGAAGGCTTCGTTCCTCCAGAACATTTGATGGCGTTTCTTCCTCAATACCATGCAATGGGCCTCTTTGGGTAAGTCGCTAGTTTAACATCCGACGGAGTGTGAAATTTCTGTTACTCGATTTGTCAGCACATTATTCGCATTACACAATGGAACAACACAAATTACTATGAAAAAATTCAACTTGGAGCTACTTCTTCGGCATCTGCAGGACTACAATGTGAGCAAAGACTAAAAATAAAATAAATTTGTTGCCAATGCAAGAAAATCTTTAGATCTCCTCACTAGGAGCTGTACCGTCCGTAGTGCTGTCTATGGCTGAATCTCCCATTCTAGACAGTTTTGATCTCAGCTCACTGATGATGATTGCTACCGGAGGAGCTCCTTTGAGTCTAAAAGTCGTCGAGCGCCTTCAGAAGCGTTTGCCACATGTGCAATTATTTCAAGGATACGGTATGACTGAAATGAGCATAGCTTCCCATATATCCTCACTCGGTTGTCCTAATGGCAGTGTTGGACAGTTGCTGCCAAATACGGAAATGAAGGTGAGTAGTTATTAGAAAAGAGTATTGTTTTTTTTGCTAAATTTGTAGTCATCTTGAGTCATTGCCTCAGCTTTTGGAATCCATTTGCAATCGAAAGATTTACTTTTTTATTTTTTGCCCAGTACCATACTTTTTTGAAGCGGACCAATCAGCGTCTTCGAGTACGGTAGTGGGCGGGGCTTGATTTGTGGGCCAGCAAATCGTAAAAACTCTTGCCTCAATGAGAGCGTAGGAGTAATCAGTCCTTACATGAAAAGCTGTCCAAATTTACCTGAGCATTACCTTCAACGGTATTTTTAAGGTAATCTCAAAGACAGGAAAGCTGTGTGGGCCAAGAGAACAAGGAGAATTGTGGGTGCGTGGACCGCAAGTTATGAAAGGATATTGGAGGAGACCCGAACTCTCGAAAGATCTTTTTGACAGCGAAGGATTTATGCGCACAGGTTAGTAGCATGGTTATATTATAAAAACCTAATATAGCTCTAACTTTTTGCCATGTTACTTGGTACAAGCATAGAATTTGTCTTAGCCCTCAACAATAGCCGTTGATTAGGCTGCACTGTATTATGAAATTCTGACCTGCACAATGACTTCTAGATAACGTTCAAACAGAGATGTAGAAAACGTGAAAAAAAAGGAGAAAAACATAGTGATATTATGAAATCTTATCACACAATCCCTTCTTCTACTTGGTGGTATAGTGATTAATCAAGAAAGAGCTCATAACCTGGAAGAACTGCGATTGGGCTTAGAGGCTACTCTATACATTGAAAGCAGCGGTCGGCAGAATGACAGATTTGAGATATTCATCGTTCTCAGTCCCCCTGGGTGAGCTAAGTCCAAGACAGTGCCTTGCAGCTTCAAAAAATATCAATAACCCGCTTTTCCATACGTGAAAAGGCTATTGGGGCGGGCCGCGTATGCCTGCCTCCAGAGCGTGATTGGCTCGTGGGTACGGTGAGTACGGTACCTCCACTCACGAGCCAATCGCGCACCAGAGGCAGGCATACGAAGTCCGCCCAAATAGCACTTTTCAGGTCTGGAAAAGTGGATTATTGATATCTTTAAGCTGCAAGGCACAGTCTTGGATTTAGCTCATTTAGGGGGACTGAAAACGATAAATATTCCAAATTTGTCATTCTGACCGCTGCCTTTGAATGGTGATGCATGATTCGCACTTCTGCAGTACAAACAACCTTTGGGATTCCTGAAGCGAAATTCATTCGTTTATCCACTTTACTAGACTGATTGTGTTGGAAGTGCAACACAAACACTTGAAGGTGTTTCAAATTCGTAGGCGCAATGCCAGTGTAAATCTGCTCTACATTTATGATGGCCCCATTGCGAAATCGCATTCGTCAAGATACTGTATCAACATCGCTTCTCAAGCACGTCATCCAAATAAGGTTTTACAATCACTCAGCAAATTTTTATTATTCCTGTATATCCCTATCTCTTTATCAAAGAAGCTTATTTTATTTCACGGATTTGGTTGTTGTTTGAAATAAATGGCGTCTTTTTATAGGCGACATCGTGTACTACGACGATGATGGATACACCTTTATTTGTGATCGTGCTAAAGAACTGATCAAGGTTCATGGGAAGCAGGTTAGTTACTGATTACGGCTAACAGCAGCCAAAGCTAACATTAGAAATCTGCTCGTCTTGAAGGCATCTCACTGGCAAAACTTCGATATGAAAAGTTTCCACTTATCTAATCCATTATGCTGATTACAAAAATGTAGATTGGAGGGCGCGAAATTCAAAGATTTACCGCGAAGCCTCAACTTTGAGTTAGGTGTGTGGAGCAGGGCCCCAAGGTTAAAGACGCAGTGTTGTGGGACCCTTGGGTACAGCCTTTTGAAAACAGTGGCGGTAGTCAGAGTCCGAATTTGCCATATATCGGTTCACAGTGGACAAATCTTTAAATTCTATTTGCACCTTTAGACTTAAGGCGCGCGCCATATTTGATCCGCTTGATCCACTTAATCCGCTTGATCCGATTCATCATTGGTCAATTCAGCGAACTGACCAATAGCGACGCGGTTGTCCACTTGAGCTGTTCCGCTTCATCCACT